CAGACCACCCTTTAAGAGCTTTCTCTCGCCACGAAATAGTAGGATCATGGGTAATCAACCAGGGAAGTCCCAGCACCACCGGATACGCAGGAGAGTCAATCAGATAGAGCTGAATCGTCTCCTCATGACCCACCTGCGTCTTCATCCTAAGGGGCGCTGTGACCTCCCTAATTAACCCAGATCCTAACGGACTGCTATCTAGGGCATGTACAGGGAAAGGCTTATCAACGGGAAGGAGAGGAATCCCTAACTCTACACAGAACTGGCGATCTACAAAATTCCCAGCTGCGCCTGAATCTACTAGCGCCTTATGCTGGGAACGAGGTGCAACCTGTGGGAAACAAACAGGCAAGGTTATGTGAACGACAGAAAGCTCTGGGTAAGTAGGGCGCCTACTCACCTGGGAGGACTCCCCAATGCGTGGCCTGCCTTCACCTCCACCGGGGGACCTTCCCCAACACCTAGCCGCGGTGTGCCCTCCACGGCCACAGTTGGTGCAGGGAACGGCCCCCCTCGGGTTCCTACTCCTCCGTTCTCTAGCGCCAGCACCTCCGAGCTCCATAGGGCTCGGCTCGGAGGTGCCGGAAGGTGGAATGGGCAACCCCCACCCGGGACGTCCACGGGTGGCGAGCAGGGTGTCCAGCCGAATGGCCATGTCGACCAGTTGGTCAAACGACAACGTGGTATCCCTGCACGCCAACTCTCTCTGGACGTCCTCCCGGAGGCTGCAGCGGAAGTGGTCTATGAGGGCCCGCTCATTCCACCCTGCATCTGCCGCTAGAGTCCGGAACTCCAAAGCAAAATCCTGTGCGCTCCTCATTCCCTGTCGGAGGTAGAACAGACGCTCCCCCGCCGCCTTCCCTTCTGGTGGATGGTCAAACACGGCACGGAAGCGGCGGGAGAACTCCGCATAGGTAATAGTAGCGGCGTCTATTCTCCTCCATTCGGCGTTGGCCCACTCCAACGCCTTGCCGGTGAGACAGGAGATGAGGGCGGAGACGCTCTCGTGTCCCGAGGGCGCCGGGTGTACGGTGGCGAGGTAGAGCTCCACTTGCAGCAGGAACCCTTGACACCCGGCAGCGGAGCCGTCGTACGCCCTCGGGAGCGAGAGCCGAATCCCGCTGGGTTCCGGAAGGGGGACAGGAGGACTGACCGATGGGGATGGTCCGGTAGGTGGGGGCGTGGGTACCCCGCTGCTTTCCCATCGGTGGAGAGTGTTCATCACCCGATCCAGGGCGTGACCGATCTGGTTGATCCTGTCCTCCTGCCCACGAAGACGGTCCTCCATGATGTCCGTTGGCGCGGTTGCTCCTGCTGATTCCATGGGTGGATGTGTGATTCTGTCAGTAGCTGAGTGTAGATGCGGTGTGGAAATCAAGCGCAGGAAACACGGGCGTTCGTGAACAGACTTTAGTAAACGAAAGCAGCACCAAACAGGCGAACAGCCAACCCAACCGGGAGGCAAAATACAAATTACGCACAATAACCACAGTGCGTAAAACGACGATAGCGCACACAGTGCGGACTCTCGAAAAACAACAAAACACGAGAGTAAATACAGAGAGCAACAGCTTGACAAAAAACAATCACACATAACACCTGACCCAACACACGATAACTAAATAGGAAACAAAATGAAACACTAAAAAGGGACAGGTGTACAAACAGACAAAACCAAACAAACATGAAACATTGAACGGTGGCAGCTAGTACTCCGGGGACGACGACCGCCGAAGCCTGCCCGAACAAGGAGGAGGAGCAGCCTCGGCCGAAACCGTGACAGAGGTACAGTTAACTCTAATGAACGTATCCTCTGCAGCAGAGGTAACTCTGGGTCTTCCTTTCCTGTGGCGGTCCTCATGAGAGCCTGTTTCATCATAGCACTTGATGGTTTTTGCGATTGCACTTGAAGAAACGTTCAAAGTTCTTGAAATGTTCCGTATTGACTGACCTTCATATGTTAAAGTAATGGACTGTCGTTTCTCTTTGCTTATTTTAGCTGTTCTTGCCATAATATGGACTTTGTCTTTTACCAAATAGGGCTATCTTCTGTATACCACCTCTACCTTGTCACAACACAACTGATTGGCTCAAACGCATTAAGAAGGAAATAAATTCCACAAATGAACACGCCTGTTAATTGAAATGTATTCCAGTTGACTACCTCATGAAGCTGGTTGAGAGAATGCCAAGAGTGTGCAAAGCTGTCATCAAGGCAAAGGGTGGCTACTTTGAAGAATCTCAAATATAAAATATATTTTGATTTGTTTAACACTTTTTTGGTTACTGCGTGATTCCATATGTGTTATTTCCTAGTTTTGATGTCTTCACTATTATTCTAGAATATAGAAAATAGTACAAATAAAGAAAACCCTTGAATGAGTAGGTGTGTCCAAACTTTTGACTGGTACTGTATATATGATCCAATGATCCAATGGATTATGATAATTTTCTGGTAAAAAAGTGGAGGTGCAAAAAGATACGTTTGCACTGCCATTTTTATTTGCGCCATGGCTCAGGAGGCCATGTGGACACAAGGCTCTTTGTGCCATGCTATCTGGAATCCTTTGGACGTACCTACCCCAATTTAATATGGTTAGGGTAGGGGTTAAGGTTAAGGTTAGGGTTTTGGGTAGGGACGTCCCAAGGATTCCGGATATCACTGACCAGGCTATTTGGCTCATCTCAGTCAAGAAGAGGAATTACTTTGCAGCTGTTTCTGATTAATAAACAATGCTATGCTGGTGGCGTGGTAACATTCAAATAAATCCCAGCCCTGAAATTAAACGTAGGTTGAAAATAATTTGTATGTCATACTGTATCATAGGAAAAGATGCGTCATTCACACGGATTTGCAGGAAGTGGTAAGTTTGGATTTGTCACTTCAAGCCATAATATATTATGACTAAAACTACGACTTATTGACTTACGTTGTTGTGCAACAACATTTTTACTGGTGTGGGCATTTAAGGATACACTGGTCTTCAAAATAATTGTAATTACAATCTCTGACCATATCTGAATAGTGCCAATACTGAGATATTCACGCTAACTTGATGCCAGCTTCCTGTAAATTATTATAATGTCAAAGCAATGAAACACAGTACAATACTTTAAATTGTCAGAAAGTTATTTTTACAGTATTTTACTGTAATTACAAGGGATGGGAGCAAGCAGGTTGGCTGCTAGTCATTTACAACATATTAATGAATAGGTGTTTTACATCAGTTGCACTTCTAGAGGCCTATACAAAGGCTTCCAAACTGGCTGTGATTAGAGGGCAAAATAAATCTAATTGACATGGTGAAATAGTAAACCATTGAAGGTTTAAATTTTGTTCCGTTTATTTTGCACAAATAGAAAGACAATTTGTAACAGTAAAAAAAACAGTATGTGCAGGAGGGGCGAACAATACCAGTAAAAATAAAACCAGTTTCCACTCTGATCTATCCTCTATATACATTTAATTGTTTGGGAGCTACTACCATATACAGGACAGGACAGTACAGGACAGTACAGGACTCTCACTAACGGGTGAAACAAATATAGCCACTTACAACGCATGCCTTACAATATGTTAATAAACCAGCGATTCTTTCCCCGCCAACAATATTTTTCCAAAATGCACCATAATTTACAGTTTGCTACATAAAAAATATACAGCAAAAGAGCAATACTTTACTTTATTGTTGAATTGTATTGAAAAGCTATTCAGCAATTGCTAATAGTGAATATGTAATGATATATTACAGCATACCAACTGATATTTGAAGTCTTATATTACTTGCACTATAGGCCTTAACAAAGGCTTCGAAACTGACAGTGACTACAGGGCAAAAGAAACACAGTTGTTGAATTTGTTCATTTTCAGTCCTTTGGTCTTCACCAAGTGAGTTAATCAGTTATCATTATAACAAAGCTCTATGAAAATACATTACATGTCTCATAAGGCCTTATTTTGAGGACTAGCTTTACCCTAATACAGTGGCCTGACAATAATTGTTTATAGGCCACATCAGGCCTGCAAATAGGGTTGCAAAGTTCAAGTAACTTTCCCCAAATTCCCAGATTTTCAAAAATCCTGGCTGAAGGATTTCCAGGAATCTTCCAACGGGGATTTCTGGAAAACCTGGGAAATGTACCCGAATTTTGCAACCCTACCTGCAAGTCACTTTATGCTGGTTTGCAAAGTGATGTTTGATTCCTATTGGAATCCAGCCAGAGTTAGGATATCCAACAGTTGAAAAATGTATGTTATTTATCTTTATGAAGCATAAGATCAATTGATCAATCACTCAATGTACATGCAAAAACATATCTTAAAAACAATTCCCAAAAATTTACTTGCAGTATATTTAAAAAATAGAGTTGATGTGACTTCTCATTTCGTTTTGAGTCAGTACCACATAAACATTTGAAGTAATAATTACTTTTCATTGACTTTGAGTTCAACGTATTAGAAGTATTTAAGTAAATGGGGTTTACTGTGTAGCCACTCAACCATTATAGTTAAATTTGTACAGCATTCTCACTAATGGGTGCAACAAATATAGCCTCTTACAAGTCACACCTTTAAAAGTGTACTTTCTATGCCTGTGAAATGTGGTTGTCCCACCTAGCTGTCTTAGGATGAATGCAACAACTGTAAGTCGCTCTGGATAAGAGCGTCTGCTAAATGACTAAATTATAAATGTCAAATTACAGAAAAGTCTTACAATGTGCTTTTTAAAATGTATTATTTATTTAATTTTCACAATATTTTACTGTGAATTCTACAGTGTTTTACTGTTGAAATTACAGAAACGTCTTAGTGTAGTCAGAGAGATGAGCCTTGGGATATTGTGAACGATTATAAAAGCGATTATAAAAGGGGGGGGGGGAGTGGGAGTATGTGTGTGTGCTGACGTGTGTCTCTCTTTTTGGGATGTGTGTGTGTGTGTGTGTGTGTGTGTTTCTTAATGCCTGCCCATGATAATCATTTCTCATTGTGTCTCACAGGAGATGTCCTGATTCAGATTTCAGAGAACCAGAGGCGACTCACCACTGAACTGGAAGGAGTAGTAGGTTACTTTACACTCCTCATCAAACAGTAGAACAGTAGCACTGCACTAGTCCTTTTACTGTATTAGAATTCAAAATGAAGAATTAAGAGTGTATTGCAATTTTACCTGGGTTGTAGTTATACACCTCTCAAAACAACTCACAACTAAGCAACCCACTTAAGATATTGTACTGTATATTTTACTAGATGGTGTAACAACACAGTTGATTCTATAATCTGTCAGTTTGAGATGTGATTGTTTGGCTAACCAATGGTGTTTCAACTACTGCGATCATAATAACCATTCTCTGTGTTGCTCTAGTTCCGCTGGTTCCACACTGAGGTGCTGCAGGAGATGGACAACAATGTCAAACTGGATAAGGACTACATAGCAGTGAGTAACCACTCTCCTTCACATATTCCTTTCACATACTGTACCCCCTTGTGTTGACAGTACAGAAGTAATGCAGTAAAGAGCATGGACTGGCGCACAGACAAAATCAGAAGGGAGAAGAGAAGTAGTGGGCAGTGCTCCAAGTTTGATGCTTTGTGTGAGGATCAAACAGTGTAATTTACTCCTGGACTATTCGTGTTTAATACTGGTCCTTAATTATATTTTTACATGAAGACTATGGTGGTGTTACAACGTATAAACTGAGTGTACAAGACATTAGGAACACCTTCCTAATATTGAGTTGCACCCCCTTTTGCTCTCAGAACAGCCTCAATTAGTTGGGGCTTTGACTAGAAAGTGTTGAAAGCGTTCCACAGGGATGCTGACCCATGTTGACTCCAATGCTTCCCACAGAAGTCCTTTGGGTGGTGGACCATTCTTGATACACACAGGAAACTGTTGAGCGTGAAAAACCCAGCAGCGTTGCAGTTCTTGACACACTCAAACTGGTGCGCCTGGCAAGGGCACTTAAATCTTTTGTCTTGCCCATTCACCCTCTGAATGGCACACACACAATCAATGTCTCAATTGTCTCAAGGTTTAAAAATCCTTCTTTAACCTGTCTCCTCCCCTTCATCTACACTGATTGAAGTGGCTTTAACAGGTGAGATCAATAAGGGATGACAGCTTTCTCCTGGATTCACCTAGTCAGTCTCCGTCATGGAAAGAGCACGCTCAGTGTAAATCTGGCATTGGTGTAATGTTTCCTCCAGGGCAGCAGGAGGCGATATGAGATGGAGATAAGGAACAAGGCCACATCTTTGGAGAGACAGCCGTGGAGAGGGCCTCACCAGGTCAGTCCACTCTGTGTGTGTGTCAGATAAAGAGTATGAGTAAAATAAATAAAAAATAAAGTTTAAGAGTGCACCAGGGAGAACGCCATTGTCTTACGTTTCTGTAAATATGATGGTTTTGTTAGTTATATATTTACACAGTGTGTGTGTGTGCGCCCACAGGATGAGTACATTCAATTCCTGAGGGAGAGTCAGCGCGAGGCTCTGATGGAGGAGGAGAGGAGATACCGTTTCCTGGCTGAGAAACACTGTGGTCTCACTCAGTCCATTATTTATCTCATGAACAAGGTAGTGTAGCTTAGTTCATTGTACTACAGTCTCATTTAGTCATAGTACAGACAAACACACAATAATTTTAGCAGACGCTTTTATCCAAACCGACTTACAGTCAGGCATGCATACATTTTACGTACGGATGGTCCCGGCAATCAAACCCACTATCCAGTTGCCATGGTCCTCTGTAGCTCAGCTGGTAGAGCACGGCGCTTGTAACGCCAAGGTAGTGGGTTCGATCCCCGGGACCACCCATACACAAAAAAAATGTGTGCACGCATGACTGTAAGTCGCTTTGGATAAAAGCGTCTGCTAAATGGCATATTATTATTATTATGCTCTACCAACTGAGCTACAGAGGACCACCCTCTCCAATACTGTCATAAACCACATTCATCATAGAAGAACCTTGGCTGGTTTCTAATATGACAACCTGCTCCTGGCCTTTCCTTGTTACCTCCAGTTTGTGGATTTGAAGGGAATTAATAAGTAGAGGCTCCACCTAGTTTGTTGCTTTCAGTTTTTATTTTGAGTGAGAGAGAGTCACCAAAGTAAGAGAGAAGAGAGTGAGTTTCCTGACTAGATTAAAGCCAATGAATAAACAAGGTGAATGAAAGTAATGTAATGTGTGTTTGTGTGTGTGTGTTTTCGATGGGCCAGACAGGGGCAGGGGGAGGCCTACAGCAGAAAGCTGATGGATGGAGGGACCAGGTCAACGCCACCAGAGGACTTGGATCCCGGAATCCCTCTCGACTGGGCCAGGACAACACGTCCAGAATGAGGGAGGAGGACAGGGGGAGCCAATGGTCAGGCAAAGAGGAGCAGCCTCTGGGAAGAGTGCCCTCTAGAGGTGGGGGCATGATACTGTATATATACACTACAGTATACATACCTATAGAGTTAGATAGATAGCCCAGTTGACTAATTTGGTGGAAGCCATCAATAGCAATGTCCATACTAAAACAGGTTATATCCATCTGGAGTCCTATGTCTAGCTCTATGACCATACCATAAATAAATACTAGACCATGCACATACCATACCCATGGTGTTCAGATGTCTTTCCTCTCCTATGACCTGCCCTCCTGGCCCTCTGATGTTCATACATCCTCTCCTTCTCTCTCCTCCCTCCCCTCTCACCCTTCACTCCCCCATCCCCTGTCCCCCTCCATCCCCCCTCCAGGCCCCTCACCCCAGAACATCCGTTCCCGCTCCAGCTCATTTGGGGAGTCCCTAGGTCTGGGTGGAGGAGGGAGACTTATGAGAGCTCTGGTGTCCCACCCTGCTAACTCCAACAGCCCCACCCTGCTGCCCTTCTCCCGGGGGGAGGTGGTGAGTGTGCTGGTGCAGGAGCCCCGAAACGGCTGGCTCTACGGCCGGGCAGAGAACAGCTCACGGTGAGGGAGAGGGGGCGGCAGGTAGCTTAGTGGTTAAGAGCGTTGTGCCAGTAACCGAAAGGTGGCTGGTTCTAATCCCCGAGCCGACTAGGTGAAAAATCTGTCAATGTGCCCTTGAGCAAGGCACTTAACCCTAATTGCTCTGGATAAGAGTGTCTGCTAAATGACTAAAATGAGAGAGAGAGAGAGATGCTCCTGCCTTCGAGGCAGAGCTGCCCTCACAGAACAACATTGTATAAGGAAAACTTCAAGCCATTCAAGAGATACTCCACTAGATATTGTAGTCTTTGGGATATGTATCAGAACATTTAAAATACCATTTTAATATATATATTTTTTGCTGAATATGCTAGCATGGCATAGCTCTCTTTCTTTCATAGAAACTCATCGAAATGTATCTCTTCTCTGCTTCCCCCCACAGTCAGGGTTGGTTCCCAGCTGCCTTTGTGGGGCCACTGGAGGAGGCCCCTAGATCAACTGGCTCCAGGTAATCCACTAGCTCCACTGTCTCTTAAAGGGACACTTCACCCAAATTTCCCCTCAAGGGAAATTATTAGCGAATTATGAAACATTGCTAGTGAGCTATGTTAATCGTGTTTTATATTCTAAAAATAGTTGCTAATGCTAATGCTGTTTTGAATTTTGGTGACCTTTGATCCTTCAGTAGCTCCACTCTTAGGAGCGCCCACAGTATGGACAACCTGCTGGACCAATCAGGAGGCATGAGCAACGGCAGACCCCCGCCCCCGCCCCCGCCTCCACCCAATAGACAGACAGAGATGCGTCCAATCACACCCAGCATGGAGAGAAGGGTGGAGTCTCACTCTGACAACAAGGTAGTGCTGCCTGGGTGAATGATCACTGAGGATCGATGTTGGCCATGAAGGTCTTAAAGTCTAGTGTTTACAGTGTTTACTCTATGATGAGCCTGCTGTTCTACACTAACTTAGTGTTTCTAAAAAATCAATGTTGGTTTGTTATTGTTAACATGATACTCTGAGGAAAGTTTCTGAGTGAAAGTCATTCCTATTCAGGTTTTTGGTGAGGCATAACAAGTAAGGAAAAGCTAGTTATAGTAAAAGCTAGTTAGAATGGAGTTAAAGCTGAAAAGGTTTAATGAAAGCTTCAAATAGAGAAGTTAGTATTTAAAATCTGCTGCATGTTTGTCCTCCAGCCAGCAGGGGCACTGTGGCAATGTGCTGTTCTCTATGACGCCACAGCCCTCCTTCTGGTGGATGCAGGGGGGAAGCTCCAGCTGCTGACAGTGTAGGGGGGTGAGGAGTGTGTGAGTGTGTGTGTGTGTTTCTGTGTGTGTTTGCATGGTGTTGGATCTTTGCATGGTGTGGATTGCACACCCATAGATGCTCTGCCCCCCTCTCTGGGTTTCAGCTCTATATGTAAAAATGTTTGCATGGGTTGGAATAGACACCTTTCAAGTTGTATTCATTCCTCCCCCTCCAGAGAGGAGAGTGCCATGGTGGACCTGGGCCAAACCTCTTCCCAAAGTAAGGAACAACCATTGCAGTCCAATTTATGTTTATTCATTACTAAGAAGTGATATCTAGGGAGATTGTTCAAGATGGACGTCTAAATTTGATGTTTATCCATGTCCCGAGGACGTCGGGAAATGCCTTCAAAACCGGCCACTAGGGGCAACAGTGAACGCTATTACCATCAAGTAGGCTTGGGTTTTGCTAGGGCGTTGTGGACGGCTATGGTGGCTGGGTGTAATCCCATGATTCTGGATCAGAAGGTTGTGTGTTCGATCCCAGTTGTGCACACTGTTTAAAAAATAAATAAATATATATATATATATATATATATATATATATATATATATATATATATATACATAACCTATCCCAAACCTTAACCCTTACCTTAACCTCTACGGTATCGGTGTCCCGTATACGGGACGGTTCAGCTAACGTACGCTAATGTGATTAGCATGACTGTTGTAAGTAACAGCAAACTTTCCAGGACATGGACATGTCTTATATGGACAGAAAGCTTAAATTATTGTTAATCTAACTCCACTGTCCAATCTACAGTAGCTATTACAGTGAAAAAATACCATGCTATTGTTTGAGGAGAGTGCACAACAACAACAAAATTATCACGGCAACTGGTTTGATACATTCACCTCTGAAGGTAAATAATGTACTTACATTCAGTAATCTTGCTCTGATTTGTCATCCTAAGGGTCCCAGAGATAAAATGTAGCATAGTTTTGTTTGATAAAATCAAATTTTATATTCAAATATAGGAACTGGGTTCTACAGTTTGAACCCCTGCTGTCTCTGGCTCCACACCCACCCCGTCCGGCCATTTAGTTATGTGAAATGTAGTGTATAAGCTAATGATCCATCATGTATGACATTCCTGGGAGTGTGTAAACTTACATTTTGTATTACCATATCATTTTTGTATGTTCTCTATGTACTTGAAAATGTATCAATTGACCATTTCGGCACATTTGGGCAGACTTGCAATAGTCCAGTATTGCACAATGCTTCACTGGATCAATCTGAAACTTTGCACACACACTGCTGCCATCTATTGGCCAAAATCTAAATTGCGCCTAAACTGCAATATTATATTGGGGCCTTTCTCTTGCATTTCACGTTTTTTTGTTTGTATTATCTTTTACCAGATCTAATGTTCTCCTACATTAATTTCAAATTTCCACAAACTTCAAAGTGTTTCCTTTCAAATGGTATCAAGAATATGCATATCCTTGCTTCAGGTCCTGAGCTACAGGTAGTTAGAGTTGGGTATGTCATTTTAGGCGAAAATTGAAAAAAAGGGTCCGATCCTTAAGAGGTTTTAAAGCGGCAATCAGCAGTAGAAATAATAACAAAGCAGAATCCCCGCCCCTGGTTTGGTAAAAAGCTGAGGGATGGGGCTGGAGAAATGTAGTCACTCTCGAATTCATAGACAGACTATGGATGCAAAGACTGACCATCCATGATATAAAAATTATAGTTTTAATCATGTTAACATTTTCTTAGTTTACAAATGTTGAAGCAAAATAAGCTTATATTTTAAGTTCTATTGGGGTACGACAGTTGAACTAATCTCATTAGGAATTTCTAAGTTATATTCTTCAAGAATCAATGGGTACATATCATGAATTTATAAGTCCAAAAATGGATTGATTGCCCCTTATGGAATGAGTGCCTAAACTTAATGTTTTAACCCTATCCAAAACCTTAACCCTTACCTTAACCATTGGAATGAGTGCCTAAACTTAATGTTTTAACCCTATCCAAAACCTTAACCCTTACCTTAACCATTGGAATGAGTGCCTAAACGTAATGTTTTAACCCTATTCAAAACCTTAACCCTTACCTTAACCATTGGAATGAGTGCCTAAACGTAATGTTTTAACCCTATCCAAAACCTTAACCCTTACCTTAACCATTGGAATGAGTGCCTAACCTTAATGTTTTAACCCTATCCAAAACCTTAACCTTACCTTAACCATTGGAATGAGTGCCTAAACTTATCCCTTAACTTCGAAATTTGACGTTTGGAGAAATGGAACGATACAGAGCAGCAGGAGTCAACCCAGGGTGTCAAAAACATTTGGAGCAATTTTGAAATGACACGTTTGGAGAACGTGGATGAACATCTAATTCTGTAGTGTGACTGTGAGAGCTTGTTGGTGATATTGTAATGTGTGTAGACATTTGAATGTCTCTCAGCCTATCACACAATGTTATGCAAATTAGTTGCTCTATGTGATGAAGCTGGGGCATGCTGGGTCAGTTCGTTTTGGAGAGGCGCCGGTGTGCGTTGGGTTAGTGCTGCTTTGCACTGTGTTCATCCAAATAAACGACTACTTGATTATTTCATGGGAAATCATTGTTTTGGACTGTTAATGTTAGTTAACAAACTGTGTGAGTTTCGGTGGCCTTACATATCTCTGTTCTCTCACTCTGTCTTTGTTGTATAGGGGCACGAACCCTTTCGCCACTGTCAAGCTGAAGCCCACGTCCACCGATGACAGATCTGCTCCACGACTCCGTCGGTGAAGAGGTCACGCCTTTGGGAGGTACTGGGCGCGTTCCAGGTCGACTACATTTCAGTTGTTGCATTGCATCAACAAATGGTTTCATGCCACTTTATCGACTGTGCAGTCGACTGCTATTTCATATGATTCACTGATCTGTTAAATAAATACCTATCCAGGCGTTGTGAGATCTGGCAGGTGTCTGAAATGTAGTCAGCCTAAAACGCGTCCACTACCATGCAGCAGGGGTTTTAGGGTTGGTGCCCTAAAACTGACCCAAATCTTCCCAAACTGTTGAAAACTGTCTTAAAACTGCCCCAAACTTTCCCCAAGCACCCCCTAATACCAATATTGTACAGTAGGTTATTTAAAAAATATTATGGAGTTTATCGGATGACTACAGTGATAAAGGAAGTTCAGGGGGCAATGTAAGATGCCAGAAACCCTAACAGATGCTTGGTACACTGATTGACCTGGCAAGTGCATTAATCATTTTTATTTCATTAGTGAGACAAATCTTTGAGGGCGCTCATTTATGCACATTTCTTCAGAATCAGGGATATTTACTGACTTCATATACATGTCAGGTACAGGTAATATTGTGGTAGAGGTAGTTGTGTTTATCAAAGCCTTTTGAATTGTTGTCTTCAAGTAGCACTTTTGTTTAGTTTTGCTTGTACAGTAACAATATGCCAATTTAAACCAATACTTCACTTTCATTCTAAACTACAGTGAACCACAGTGAGCTAATCTTTCTCTTAGGAATGCCATGTAGATAGATTGTTATGACAAGTGAATTTGAGCTACTAACTTAACAGTGCTAACCATTGGAATGAGTGCCTAAACGTAATGTTTTAACCCTATCCAAAACCTTAACCCTTACCTTAACCATTGGAATGAGTGCCTAAACTTAATGTTTTAACCCTATCCAAAACCTTGTCCAGTGCCTTTAGTAAATGTTCTATAAGATCCACCAATGGGGATACTTAACCTAAATTAGCCTTAGTGTGTACTCAGCTATGTAAATGGTTGACATGTGAAAGTGTTGAGCTAATGTAATAGCACTAAATAAACAATTACTTTTTACTTTACTGCTAGAATAAAAATGGCAGCTGCTTTTCACATTGTTTCAAATTCCTTTAATCAGACAGAAATACATCCTCTGATTCTGACGTTTTTTAGTTGCTGTTGCTGTCGATATTTTACACATGTATTTTCTAGTTATTGATGGCCAATCGGTAGTGCTGAGCGATTAACCAAAATTGTTTTTGTGTTGTTTTTTTTTTGGGGGGGGGGGGGGGGGGGGGGGGGGTTATTGAACAACCAATTGACCGACGTCGGTTCAGTTAATTGAATTCCATTTTATTTGGGAGGGTGAGCCCAACGCGTGGTTTCTGTAGAGAGAAATCAAATAATTCACGAGAGAAATCAATTCAAGAACTATGTGCGACGCTTGTGTCACGATCGTTCATGAACGAGAAGGACCAAGGCGCAGCGTGATATGCATTCATATTTATTTCACGAATAAACGCACAACCAAAACAACAAACGAAACGTGACGTCCAAGGTAGACAAATAACATACCTCACACGGAACAAGATCCCACACAGACTGGTGCCAAACGGCTGCCTAAGTATGGTCCCCAATCAGAGACAACGAGCTACAGCTGCCTCTGTTTGGGAACCACCCTGGCCAACATAGATCTACACGATCTAGACACTAAACATGGAAAAACACAACATAACACGGAATATACACACCCTGACTCAACAAATCAACGTCCCCTGAGTCAGGGCGTGACAGCTTGGCTGTAGTATCAAGCCAATAATTAAACCTAGTTCAGTGCAGAAACGTGGTAATGAACTACAATGACCATAATCTATTGCGCCTGTACTTTCCGGCTTGGCTGTTAGGTTAGATACACACAGACCAAACAGACCACATGAGAGGAATGTACACAACACAGCGATGCGAGGGACAGAGACAATTCGTGAATGTATGCCTTATCTCCTTTGAAGAACTAGTCAAATGATTTCGTCAGACTGCTCTGCAGCATTATTAGACAGGCTAGCCTCGCTAAATAGGATGACTAAAGACAGTACAGTATGGGGAGCACAGAGATAACGTTAGATGGTCTGGCTGGCTGCTACTGCCTGAGCAGAGATGAGATGATGACTTTAAGGAATGAAAAATAATAAAGTCCGTCTTCTGTAGTGTAATATTGGGATGGAAACTCAAAACTGAATACATTTCAACTCTATATCTGACATGGTACAGGTGTCTTATTATTTTAAGCCTATAACCATGTGAATGAGGGGTATACTTTTGTTTCAAAGTATATTTGTTTAAGACTACCAATCACTCTGTGTGACCCTGATTTAGCCCACTGCAGTAAAAGGCAAAATATAACCGTGAATACTTTTTTTGTAATCGAACCGACCTCAAAAACCACTAATCGCTCAGCACTACCAATCAAAGAAGTGAAGGAGACAAACAGAGGAAGCATTAAAGGAAGCATCGGAGTGAGTCAGTTGTTCTTGAGGCATTTCTTTATTTTATTTTGTTCTTTCACAGCTTGACCTCTTTCATCTTTTGGTGTGTTTTTACAACAGCTCATTACCAAAGGAGAGAGGGATGGAGGGATGGGGAGGAAAGGAAAGGAGGGGAGCAGTGCCATAAAGTTGAAATAGAGATAGAAGAGAGAGACAGAAACAAGGGACAGAGAAAGAGAAAGAGTGGGGGAAGAGGGAGAGAGAAAACGGGGGTGAAGTAAAATCAACTCAAAGGAGATATGACTTTCTCTCATTTTGAAATATCTACATTATTATTTTAACTTAAGGTTATTGGCCTTCCAGGTGGTCTGATAACTATACATAAACAGAAACACATATGCTTGTATAAAAAGGAAAAAATAAATAGGGTGGGGGTTGTGGGTGGGAGTGGGGGAGAGGGGTAAGTTAGCGGGGTGGGGGGGCGGGAGCCACGACCCCCTTCCTCCAGTGCAGTAGTAGTAGTGCGCTTGAGTGGGAGAGAGCTGGGTGTCAGTGAGGGTAGGTGGAGGGATGAGGGGGGTGTGTGGGGGTCGGCTGCAGACTGGGAGAGGGGGAGTGAGTGTCGGGGCCGGGTGGTGGAGCACTAGTCGGTTTAGGGAGGAGTCTATTACTCGTGCACCAGGGCAACAAACTCTGAAAGAGAACAAGAAGAGACAAGAGGTTAGAACACTCTGTAGACTCTGGTCTGATTACGCTGTGATGACACAGGTGAGTACGTGTCCGTCGGTCAGAGAGATAGTTTTCTTACCGTCGATGCCGATCATGCCGTCCCCGTCCTTGTCGGCTTCGTTTAAGAATGCTTTGGTTTCTTTATCGGTCAGGTCCCTGCCGTCTGAGGCGAATCCCTTCAGTACGAACCTATGGACAACAGCAGGAGGGCAGGGAGACTTGAGTACAGACAGTGCAACAATTAGGAACGCTCTGGTGCCTAAACAGTTAACCATGAGTATGTGTATGTGGGATGCGGATGCATGTCCACGTGGTCACTGGTCAGTCACCACACGCTGTATTTTGTTTAATCAATCAAGGAGTGTGTGGTCAGTCAAAGTGTCGGTGTGTGTCTCTGTCTGTGTTTTTCTGTGTCTCTGTGTATGTCTGTCTGTGTGTGTGTGTCTCCCTGTGTGTGTCTCCCTGTGTGTGTCTCTTACTTGAGCTCCTCCTCCTCTATGAACCCGCTGGCGTCAGCGTCCAGCACCAGGAAGGCTTTCTTCACATCATCAGCTGACTTGGCCTTCAGACCCACCATCTCAAAGAACTTCTTATGGTCAAACGAGTCAGCCGCTGCATGGCATAATGGACACACAGTTTAGTGAACACACACACACACAAAGTACAAAAAACAACATGGGTGACTGCCTGGATACAACACCCCAGAGGCTAAACGTTAATGCCAAACAAGCCTTAATTAAGAAATTACTATTTTTACACTGTGATGCGGCGTTTGTCTGTGTGTACATGTATCTGTGTGTGTGGATTCAGAGCTTGTGTTGTGCCAGTGGTCACATCAATTCTATAGGTCAGAGGACTGTGCCAACCCCAGGACTAGCTGGCATCCTCTGGCAGATGTGTTACACAATACCAGTTATTATAGAATCATAATTATGTCAGATGTGATGTGTTATTACAGTATAATTATGTCAGATATGATGTGCTATTACAGTATCATAATTATGTCATATATGATGTGTTATTACAGTATCATAAATATGTAAAAATGTGTTGATCCCATAAGGCTCTGGTCAAAAGGAGTGTACTATAGGGAATAGGGTGCTATTTGGAACACATCCAATGTGTCTGTTGGACCAAGGGGATCTACCCGTTAAAACTTTAGTATAGAGAACACATATAAGCCACTAATGTGCAATACAAGAAGTGAATTATACTTTTACTAAGCATTATTAGCCTCTATTCAGTGTTTTCTTGTTGACACATTATGGGATGGTTTCCCATACACAGATTAAGCCTAGTCCTGGACAAAAAACAAACTCTTTCAATGGAGAATCTTCATTGAGAATGCTTCTTAGTCCTGGACTGTTCCTAAATGTGATGTAAGAAAATAAAATGAAGTTTGTTCACCTGCGAATGCGTCTAGGGCTTTCTTGATATCGGCAGCGTTGAGAATGCTGTTCATCGCCATCTCGGCAGCTGGAACGTTAAGAAAGAGGGGGAGAAGAAGGAAGGAGGAGAAGAAAAGGGGGGAAAGAAGTTGAACACAAGGGTACATGAGAGCAAAGGGAACAGAGAGAGACATTCTCATATTACACTGCTGAGACTTGTGAACTGGAGCAAGAAATCAGGGCGAGAGCGAGATATTGAGAGAACGAATTAGAAAGGAGGGAGAGGAGGAGAAAATGGAGGAGGGGGTGGGGGGTGCTCAGTTCTCCATTTAGTTTTTGCGTGCTTTTTGGGAGGGGGTTGAGGTTGGGGGTATTATAAGAGAAACGTGGCAGGTCTCCAGGCGTCTACTCAGCAGGGTTAGCGCCATAGGATCTGAGCCTTATGCTGTGTCGGACATACCATAGAACAAGAGCTAGAGCTGTGGAGCTAGGAGGCCGTTGGACATACCACAGAACAAGAGTTAGAGCTGTGTAGAGCTATCGAGTTGGACGGGGGCTCCATATGTCTTACACTTTGAAAGGCGAGCTGTGTGTCCAAACCCCTTGGCCCTGTGTGTCCGACCTTGTGTGCCATTGAAGTCAATTGCTTCATACTTACAAATGTATCACCATACCCTTCCTAACCCCCCCCCAGCCCCCATCTGTCTCCCAGAAGAGGAGAGGCGAGGAGAGGAGGAGGAGAGGAAAGGAGGAGGAGAGTTGGGGAGCGAGTGGTGTTGAGAAGGAGTGATTGAGGAATGGATTAGTGGGTTGAGGTGTGGTTGCCGTGTGGTTGCCGTGTGGTTGCCGTGCTATGATATCGTGCAAGGGCAATTTATACATCTATCTTTGGATTCGTTTACGTCTGTAATGGCCCCTTAGGGGTGGCCCTGCTCCAGGGTGTCAGGACTGCAGGGCCAAGTAGGGTGCTCTAAGATATTTCCCTAAGACACTGCTGCAGCAATGGCTCATGGGATAAGTGAGAAAAAAGGCCCAGCTAGACATATATAGTACAATAGAGCTCGCCAGCTTGTAGTCCTAAAATACGGAAATGCGTTGCCTCTGGTTCGTTTGGCCGTTTCTATGGGGGAAATTAATGGGGGAAGAATGGGGTTTTGGGAAAAACGCCGAAAAATAAGGTCTGAGGTTATCACAGGCTTAGGAGATGTTTTGTTCTGTGAGATAATATCAGTTAGTTAACATGGCCTTTATGAATTATCACATGTTGACATTTGGCATCCCCATGTTGTCACATTTATTTCACATGAGATCAAGTTTTCACGTGCTCACATGTTGTCACGTTGTCACACCCTGACATAGAGATCTCTAGTTGGTTTGGTCAGGGTGTATATATATGGGTGTGAATATCTAGTATGTGTATTTCTATGTTGGCCGGGTGTGGTTCCCAATCAGAGGCAGCTGTCGATCGTTGTCTCTGATTGGGGATCATACTTAGGTAGCCATTTTGCCTACCTATGTTGTGGGATCTTGTTTCTGTTTGGCTTGTTGGATGTTTAGCCTTTTGAACTTCACGTTCTGTTGGATTTGATATTTTGTCGGTGTTTATATAATAAACTACTATGTACGCATATCACGCTGCACCTTGGTCCGATCCTTTACACGACGAACGTGACACACGTGGAAATCTTGCATCCCCATGTTATCACATTAATTTGACATGTGATCACACGATAACATGTTTTCACATGTGATCACGTGAAATTCATGTGGTTTTTCCGTAAGGGTTATGTGCTTTATGTGCTTGTTTTGATTACATAAATGCTTCAAAATTCACAAAAAGTGACATTAGCTGATGAAGATGATCTCATAGAACAAGACATATAAAGTCTCCTAAGCCTGTGTTTACCACAGACCTTACTTTGCCGTTTATCCAAAAACCCTAAAAAAAAACATTCATTTTCCCATAGGCTTTGGCCAATGAGCCATGGTGGAGTTAGTGCCTACAAAAAGACGCCATTACTATTGCTCTCTATAGGAGCGTACAAGACCCTATTTAGTAGTTAGCCTCTTTCCACAGTTTGTCCTATGCGAATGCCTTAACAGTCAGCCTCATCTTATTGAGATCTAGCGCTTCCTTTCACCCAACCCCTTTCCAACACTCCTCCATTTGGCTAACCCTTTGGCTCCAATGAAAAGTATAAATATGAAACCCTCATTTTTTTCCTGCGTGAGAGCTGGCTGTGCCCTTCTTCTCACCCAGAGGTGAGGGAAACCCAACCGCGCTTCAGGAGAACGGACCGACTCCTAGCCTTCATTACAACAGCTGCATAGTGTGTGTGTGTGTGTGCGTGCGTGTGCATGTTTGGAGGAGGGGGTTCTGGGTCTAGGCAGGCCGGGTGTGGGTGAGGAGAGCAAGGAATCAAGGGAGAATGTACTTGCGTCTCAAGAAACTCGAGCCCCTTAAGTTAAGCCCCCTCGATCTCAGTTTACTATAGCATGTGTATGTTTGTATGCGGTCGTTTCTAGTGTCAGTGTGCGAGTGAGAGTGTGTGTTTGTATGTATGAATGTGTTGCTTTGCTAATATGTCTGTGACGTGTGTGAACTTAGATTTGATCTGTGTGCTTGGTATAGGTTAGGTGTGCACATGGGGGGGTTATGAGTGTGTGTGTGTGTGTGTGTGTGCATGCTCCCATGGGGCAGGGATGAGTTTGTGTGTGTTTGTGTACATGCATTATGTACGTCTGTGTGCTGTTGGTGAGATAATGTTTTGTGACTCTGGACTCATATACCCTGTAGGGCTCTTACTTACAGCTGATTTTACATTTAAATACCCACTATGTGAATCAGAATGATTTAAACGCAACAAACTGGGACTCTGCTTGTTTTAGCCTACTGTCCAGCAGAAGCATTTTATTGGAGGATTTTGATTCAGAATGATAGCCAACTTGTAAATGAATTGTTGAAAGTGTGTAAAGAACAGCTCAAATGGGTGGCTACAACACAATGCTGTAGCTCCAAGGGTAATGATGTATTTAGTTATGGCTGCTATCTTGTGCTAAGTGTATCCAATCTAATGTTTGGTATTCACGGTCCTTCAGAACAAATGCTATTGATTCTGCAAGTCATTGATTTCATTATAAAAAGTGGAGTCAGCCTCTCTTGTCATGGTAACAATATCAAAACCCAAAGAGCAGTGATCCGAGTGGCACGGCCATAATAACAACACCCAGATGGATTGTGGGGGATCATCTTTGGACATATCAAAAAAGTCCACTATCTTATCTCACAGCATGGTGCTGAAAAGAACTGCTGAGCTACCTACCTACTGTACCGCCACAGTACAACTGAACAATCAGACCTGTGTTCAAATACGTTATCTGTACTTGACCAAATCTGACTGTAGCAATGGAACCAATAGAGCGGTCCCAGTGCAAACCTTGCCCACCTGGTTATCCAGGTAGGTTAATGCAAAAAATATTTCAAATAGTATCTGAAACCAGGTCTGGCTACCACAATTCAATGACTAAGTAGCTACAACAACAGGCATTGTGTAGTAGTATCCTGGCTGGTACACAAAGGTACAGCTGTGACTCGCAGTGTAATAATGTAATCTTATCTAATCAACTAATCACATAATCTCATAACTCCATCTGGGACAATGGGACAATCAATAATCTACATGCAAATGCCAAACATGTCAATAATGAAACCACGTCACGAGACATTTACATAAAACACAAACAGAATAATATACTATTATTCAATAAATAAAAATGTGTAAATCGCTTAAGCTACTCATTAGCATTTAAAGCAACATCTAAAGTCTTTAAGTCATACATATTTCATCATAACACACAAACAACACGTTTTATGCGTACCAAATGGCACCCTTTCCCCTACAAAGTGCTCTACTTTTGACCAGGGCCTTATTTGGTCTTGGTCAAATGTAGTGCACTATATAGGGAATAGGGTGCCATTTGGGACACATCTATTATTTGTCTCTGTTTAATTAACAGAGGCTATAGCCACTAAAATAGTTCACTGACACTCCATGAATATGCATTAACATGGAGATATGAACACATGAGTATCATGCAAATGCATTAATCATTCTCAACGACTCAACGTAATCACATACAGAATGATAATGAGGGAAGGTTAGCAATTTGCACCATACTTAGTTAATGTCCTCTTCATCATTGTTGAACGGTTTGGTCATTTTGTTCATATTCTTTATACAGTAGCTATTCACATTATACAACTAACTAACACCACAAATTGCACCTGTTCATGCTATTTTCCAACATGTAACCGCCATACTTAAACAAC